AGATTATCTTTAAATGGGCCTGTTAGAAAATATGCTTAGTTTAACATGAAAAAGTCCCTTAATCACTTTTCCCTTATTTCCATGTTTTGGACAAGTTTTCTGAGCAGAAGGAAAGGAATTCAGAAGCCCCATTCACTACCCCTCTCACTGTCCAATAAAAGAACGACTCTTGTGCCAAATTTGCTCAGCAGAATTTGGTTCCTAAGACTACAAGTTTATTTTGGATGGGAATGAAAGCAGCAGCTACGCGTTGGCTGTACCTTCGTGTTCCAGATGAAGCGGGCATCCTTCCCCTCCTCCCACTGTTTGCACTTTTCTAAAGCTAATTCCCCCACTCCCAACTGGAAGAATCATAGGCCACTGAAACCTTAAAATCATAGAATTCTGGAATCTAGAACAACAAATTCTGAGAACCCTGTAATCTTAGAAAAATGCTAGCTTGGGGAGGGTGTTTAACTTGGCTTAGAACTGCCCCAGAGGCCACCTCCCATAGTGGGTCTTCTTAGACTATGCATGAGGATATCCCAGACTCATGTGTCTTGCTTCTCTTGAAACACAATTCAATTCTAGGTGTCCTCTCTTCTACTGCAGCCAGAAAATAAGCCAAGAGATTGCTTCAGTTTCCATGGTGAAGAAAGTGAATGTCACTTCTTCACTTAGCTTTTCCTGATCCCACTTCCATTGTCACAGCAGCACTCTCATTTTCATTTAACAAATATTTATTAAATGCTTGCTGTGTGCCATAATTCATTGACTACTCCCCCAAGCCCCAAAGATCAACACAATCATTTGCCCCATTTTCCAGTGGAGAAAAGGAGGCATAGATAATGTCCAAGGCTGATTCTCAGGGAATCTTAGGATCATACCACTTTACAATCACCTAACCATGCTAAAAGAACCCCGATTGACTGAGCCTTTTATTACATGCCAAGGCCTACGTTAAGAGCTTTACATGCATGTTGTCAGAAACTTCAAAAACCCTGTGAAGGAGGCACTATTGTGATCATGTTCAAAACACAGATGAGAAAGGCACAGAGAGGGAGGCTCAATTTTCAGTGTGCCTCATGTCTGTCAGTCTCCGACGTCATAGGGTGCTGTTCCCTGTGTGCCAGAGCCAGCTGAGCCCACCTGAGTCCTTTCTCCATTGCTGTCCCCAGCAGTGATGCTGGGACTTCAGAACAGCCTATGTAGGACTCCTCCTGGTATCAGCAAGCACCTGAAGAACTTCCCCCATGTTCCCTTGTATCACCTGTCGACATCCACCCCAAGCCCAGATCTCCACCTTTGGAAATGCACCCTTAGTGGTGTGCTGGTAAATGTTTAACAGCCAGCTCTTGGGTGGGTGGGTGAGGCGCGGGTAAGCCCTGATTTGTAGTTTTCCAATTTCTATGGTGTAAATATATCCACCACCACCAATTTCAAGCAACCAGCCAATCTGGTGTCAGTGAACATGGAGCTGGGAAGAATGTGCAGAAACCACACCCTCATACAGTATTTTCACCACATAGATACAAACAGACATAAATAACCTCAAGAGCACAGCTAATGGTAAAATAATTAGGAAGTGTGAGCTTTGAGTATGTATTACCTTCTTTTAAAAATATAATGAATTCAATTTTAAGTTTACATAATTTAATTAATAATGACTGTGTTTCACAACCAGCTCACATAATTCCTGAACACTTAATAATCAACTCTTGCACCAGCTCCACTACACTGCTGCCCCTGACTTACACGTTTTGCACCAAGCTCTGCTGAGATCCCTGCCCAGGAGAGAGAGAAAATTATGGAGGGCAAAGTTCAGGGCTAGAATTCAGCACACACATGCTGGTGTGGTCCTATGAGTTGTTAAGGGCATCCTTTGATAGAGGTTGATAAACAGCCAACTCAGACATTTCTCCAGGACTGCCCCTCAGCAATATTCCCATAATTCAGCAACAAAAGAGCCCTCTAGGCTCTACCACTGGCCAATATCTGTCTGGGCTGCACCAGTTGTTAGGTATTTTTATTCTCACAGCTGGCAATATCCAACTACATACATTTTGCAATACCTCAAAACTAACAGTCCGTGCTCTGTGCCGGCATTGGGTCAAATTACACATCTCATGCCTTTTGAGAAACTGAACTAAAAATATTTCTAAGGGCTCTTCAAGCTCTAGACACATTGTGATTCTAGGCCAGACCCCCCAAATGAGAGGCTAGGAATGAGGAGGACGGGGGACGTGGAAAGAAGTTGGGTGTAGTTACAAGTAGCAGAGATACTCCCTAGTGGGTACGTGGGATTATGGCATTAAAGTACACTGATGCACAGAAACTGGGAAATAACAGATAATTGTTGTTTAAGCAACTGAATTGTGTTTTGTTATGCAGCATTAGATAACTAATACACAGATATTTTCTGGTTATAGTAGAGGAGAGTTAATTTTCTGTTAGAGAGATATCAAGGTTCCATTTCAAATAAATAAATTCAAGTTTTTATAAAGGAGAATCAGTTTAAAGGAACATTAAGTAAATATATTGGTGGTACTCAGAGGTGGGAAAAACAAAGTAGGACAATGTCTGAAGCTGGACTAACACTTACCTGGTTCAATCATTTTCAATCATTCTTTACTGATAGAAGCTGCATATTCATTAACTGCTGTAACACAGACCCAAAATAACAGTTTAAAGGGATGGAAACAAGAGGGAAGTTTAATTTTCTTTCACTTAATGGCTCACCATAAGCAATCCAGGGCTGACCAGGTAGATCAATAGGGTTAAAGACCCAGGCTTCTTCTATATTGCTGCTCTTCCTTCCCTAAGGTGTTGCCCTCCTCATCTCTACATCCCATTCCAGCCAGTAGAAAGGGGAAATATTTAGGAGGAAAACCTGCCTCCTCCCTTTGTGCAAGTTGCATAGGCCACTTCTGCTCAAACCTCATTGGTCAGAACTTTGGCATGTAGCCAGGCCTAGCTGCAAGGGAGCCTAGGAAACGTGCTCTTGCATAGCCGTGTGGCTGGAGAGAATTCTGTTACTATGGAAGGAGGGGAAAACCGGTATCGAGACATCTAGGTGCTTCTGCAATACAAACCTTCCCTCAAGTAGAGTCAAATATGGATGATGTACCAAACCAGATGGTAATGAAAACTATACTTCCAAGCACTCCAAAATATCTGGGTGCCTTTTCCCCTGGCAGGCAAGGTACAGCTCAATAGTGCTTAACATTTCTGGGAGACACACAAAACTCTCCAAAGTTCACCCAGCATCCCCAGGTTATAAGAACACTTCTTTCAGGGGACTTGAGTCATCTCTGACCACAGGCCCTGCCTTGTAAGCCGGCTGTTTGGATTAGAAGATAACCGGCTTGTCAAAGCACACAGCTCAGTACCTGGCACAAAGATGACACTTAATAAATAAATAAAAACTTCCCTAGCAGTGTCGCAGCATTTCTTGGAATGTGTCATAAGGAGTGACGTGGGACTAGGCATAAAATGATCCAGGTTCCATTTCATGCACATGCTCCACAGAGCCCCATCACTCTCTCTCCATCTCACTTTACCCCGGCTTTGTCTCTATCTCCGTATCTTTCTGTTTCTTTGCTTCTGTCTCCCTGTCCATCTCAATCTCTGGCTTTTTGTCCATTTGGATTCGTCCTTCCAAGTCAATGGGTTTTTAGTCATAAGAGAGAGAGAGAGAGAGGATGGGAAGGAGGGAGGGAGAGCACACCCTGAGTTCCTGTTGTTTCTTCTTCCTCTGCCATATATCTCTTCTGTCTCTTGCTTTGTCTCACTGAACCTTTTATTCTGTCTTGGATATTTCTTCAAATTTCCTTCTGTCCGCGTGTCTTCCTTAGTATCTGTCTTTGACTTGCTTCCTGTCTCTCTGCTCAATTTTGATCTGGCTCTGGGTCTATTTCTCTGCACCTCTTTTTTTCTCTTTGTTTCTCTCACTCTTGGTCTCTGTCTGCATCACATCTTACCTGGTATAATCTGCCTCTCTCTGTTCTTCTCTGTTCTGGGTCCTCTGCAATTATTTTTCCTCTTTAACTTGTTTGTACACATTAGCTCCAGTGCCTCCACTCCGGGCTGCCTGGCTGGAGTAGGATGATGATAGGGGTTCTAAGGACATTGTCTCTCTCTTTTCCTGTCTGAACGGGGAGACCAGACTCAACGACCACCATCACAGGTGGTTAAGGGACCAGTCCTTAATGGGTGTACGTGTGTGGGGGGCGGGGGAGGAGGGTGGGAATGGAAAGGTGGGGCAAAACCGGGAGAGTCAGAGGAGGTAGCCGAGAGCTGACTCCTACCTCAAGAAAGACATCCTAGCAGCAGATCCGAGGTGCAGAAGGTGGTGCTGTGTGAGTTGCCCAGTTTTCCCAGAATTCCTACCACTTCTCCTGGACACAGGACACCTAAGCTCAGGAGGCTAAGCCTTATCCTAAAACCTGTGGGTTCTAGATCCGAGGTGCAGAAGGTGGTGCTGTGTGAGTTGCCCAGTTTTCCCAGAATTCCTACCACTTCTCCTGGACACAGGACACCTAAGCTCAGGAGGCTAAGCCTTATCCTAAAACCTGTGGGTTCCCTAACAGATTCAATTTCTGAGTCTGAGAATCCAGACACATGAGAAGGGCATTGGGTTTTGTTTAATAATATGTATAGGTAGGATATAATACCCAGGAATTTTGTTTCTGGACAGTAAAGACTTATGAATATTTGGTACAAAAAGGATTGAAAACATTTGTTTATATTATTTCAGAGAGAATCACTAGGCCATTGTCTCTCTAGAGATTGGGGCTCAGAGGTGGACTCTACACTTTCGACTTTGAAAACAAATGTGCATATGTGCATACACACACACACACACCAGCAAAATTCTGATTAACCAACACGAGTGATCTTAGATTACTACTATTTAATATCATCTTGAGGAGAAAACCCTTTCAGTGGAGTTTTTTGTCTTGCTATTCTAAGTTGTCATCTTACTGTCTTAATTTTTTTTTAACTAATTAATTAGGGTCTCAAAGAGAAAGGAGTCATCCGTATTTCTCTACCAAGACTTTGTAATACAGCGGTCATCCAGTTACTTGACAGACGGGGAAGCTGAGGCCATGAGGGGTAGGTGACTTACCCACTGAAGAAAAGATGCGGGTGAAATTTGAACCAAGATCGTCTGATTTCTAAATGCAGTAGCCTAAAAATAACAGTCACCTGCCGCCCACGCCCTACCAAGCATGCTGAATGAGGGGCTGAGTGGAGGGAGAGCTGAGGGACTGGAAATATGAACAAAGGAGAATGGCCCCAGTGGATCTGCCTGGGTTAATTCAATACAGCTTCATGCAGGTGGGAGATTAGAGGTTACATAACCACCCCCCAGATAAAGCAATCCCTTCCCTGATGGCATCCATACCCGGAAAGTTTGAATCCCAGGGCGTTCAGATTTCTGCACACAGAATGTATTTAGGCAGAATCCGATGCCCTGGACACAACCCCTCGCCCTGGCACCATGGAGCTGGGAGGGGCCTCCACCATACTTCTGGCACTCTGCTTGTCTTGTCTGCTTATCCTCATCGCCTGGAAACGGGTCAACAAGGGTGGAAAGCTGCCTCCTGGTCCCGCACCAATACCCTTCCTGGGGAACCTGTTCCAAGTCCGCACTGATGCCACTTTTCAGTCTTTCATGAAGGTGAGTCTGATTACTCCTTGCATAGAGCTGGAAGCAACGAATTCCACAGACAGATACATGTAGCACCCAACTTCTAAAACACAGACTCTTGGAAATATAGATTTCATGAACCTTAAAATACTGAAATTCCTGAATCATAGACTCTCGGAGACAAAGACATCTAACACAATGTAGCTTAGGACTCTCGCAGTCTCAGGACTTGGGAATCAGCACCTTATGTCCCTATATACAAGAACTCTTAAACTCTTATTGTGTTAAAACTCTGAGACCCAGTCTCATAAAATCGTAGAATTCAAGAAATTTAGCCTTTCAGAAAGAGAAATGTGGATCCTGGAGTTCATCTCATCCAGGTCCATCATTTAACAGAGGGTGAAACTAAGGTTTGTAGAGGTGTTGAGGGGGTATTGCCCAGGATTGCAGACGCCGGGAATCTGTGCCTTTTTCTCAATAGTTTCCCCAAGCCCAGGCCTCACTTTTATCTGTTATTCCCATTTTGTGTTCCCTTGAAATCTGCACCCCCTAAAATCCTTGATGGTCTATACTTGGTACCCCAATCAGCCCCCTCTTCTCATGTCTTCCTTTGCTCCCAGCTCAGGGAGAAATACGGCCCAGTCTTCACTGTGTACATGGGTCCCCGGCCAGTTGTCGTCTTATGTGGACATGAAGCAGTGAAGGAGGCACTGGTAGATAGAGCAGATGAGTTCAGTGGCCGTGGAGAACTGGCTTCCATAGAGAGGAACTTTCAAGGTTATGGTAAGTAACAACTGCAGCAATTTAAAAAAATTATTATTATGCACTTCCTATGTTCCAGGTTCTTTGATAAGCACTCTACATGAATTATTGCATTAACTCCTTTGAGAGAACTATTAATATCTTACTAATTTTGCAAATGAGGCTGAAGGTGAGAAAAGTTAGGTAATATCATATAGTAAGTGGTAGAACCATTTTGTTCTGAACCCAAATCATCTGACTTTAGAGTATATTTAGAGTATGTGTTACTTCTGTTATTTTTAATGGATCAGTGACATTCCTTGTATACCCACTGAAGCACACATAGCCAACCTTTCTTATTTTCCTAACCAACCCATAGGTCTCTGCCACTTCCATATAAGCAGATATATTTTTAGCATTACCTATACATCCATCTCTGCCCCTACTCTTCAATTCCAAGCAGTCTCACAATATTCTTCCATACTTCTGTCCATCTATCTATCCCTATACCCTTCCTTCCATCCATCCACTTTTCTGTTGATACATTCGATCAATTCAAAAAATTCATTCATTAATTAGACTTTCTAACCAACTCTTTCCAACCAACTCGTCAGTATATCTATCAAATACAACTTTCCAATGACCGATCTATCCATCACTCCATCCACCCACTCATTAACTCCTCCATTATTCATCCAGCAATCTTTCCATCCATATATCCTCCCAACCACCTGTCCATCCATCACAAACTATCATCCTTTAAGCCTTTCGTCCACCCATCCATTAGTCATTTCAGTCATAAACTCTTCCTTCCATTCATTAATCCACCAGAACAATCTCATTAAATTTCCAAACATTAATTTACCAATCCATATACATCTGGTAATTTCTAAATGTTTCTTACTATCTGGTAACTCCATTTGTGTAGGTATATTGATGTACAGGTGTAAGCTTCTGTATATGTGTATATACATGTCTAGAAAACCTAGTGGCATACGGAAAACAGAAGTAGTTTCCACATTTCAGGGTCTTCTGTATGGCATTCTATCTGTATCTCCTTCCACAATCCTAGGCATATATCCAGTTATTTATCCAGTTCCAGGTATTTATCCTGTAAGAAACTCTCTTTGATCTCCTCCCAGTCACTCCTAGCATGATTTTCTTTCCTCTACCTCAGTCCTGGCCTATTTTTGAGGGTCCTGTAGGAAAGGAACCATAGTCTCGCCATCAAGCCTGGGAGGTTGGGAGGAGCTTCCCTGAGGCCAGAGTCTAGACCTTTCATAATCTGTCCCCATCCTTGTTTAGCACAGAGTTGGACACAGGAAGGGGAGGGGAGGCAAGAGCCTGACACTGAAATTCTGGCAGGTGTAGCCCTGGCTAATGGAGAACGATGGAGGATTCTCCGGCGTTTCTCCCTGACCATTCTTCGGGACTTTGGGATGGGAAAGAGGAACATTGAGGAGCGGATCCAGGAGGAGGCCGGCTTCCTCCTAGAAGAGCTGCGGAAGACCAAGGGTATGGGGGCCAGACGTGGGGAAGGGCAGCAGGGTAACCGGGTGGCTGCAGAGAGCTCAGTCATGAGAAGATGGGTTTTGGTGGGAGAAAGCCCTGGACTGGGGGGCTCTCCAGCACAAACACAATTAAATATTGAAACCAAAATGGGATGAGGAAGCTCCACCAGCATTTCTTGAGTAATTACTACATGGCAAGTACTGTGCTAAGCACTTTACATGTATAATTATATCAAATCCTCACAAGCCAGTGAATTGGCTGAAGTAACTAATGTGCTGTCAAGCAGTGGAGCCAGGACTCATACCCATGGCTGAACGATTCCCCATCCCGTGCCCCAAATCACTGTCTCTAACATAGACAATTTCCCTACCCAGGTGCCCCCATTGAACCCACCTTCTTCCTGAGCCGCACTGTCTCTAACGTCATCAGTTCTGTTGTCTTTGGAAGCCGCTTCGACTATGAAGACAAGCAATTCCTGAAGCTGTTGCAGATGATCAATGAGAGTTTCATTGAGATGAGCACCCCGTGGGCACAGGTGCCCATCAGCCACCTCTCTGCCCACCCCCCACTCTCAGTTAGCTAAGTGCCTGCCTATACTACCTTGCCTAATCCTCCCCACAAACCCGGGAGGCAAGTATCAGTATGCCCTGAGTCTCCAAGAAGCAAATGGACTCCCCCAGTTCTCAGACCCAGTGTTGGAGGTTGAGCCCAGCTCTCTGACTCGAAACTCGGCCTATGCTGGCCCCAGGTGCCCATTGCTGACAAATACCCTTTGCCTATTCCCCGCAGCTATATGACATGTATTCCGGAATCATGCAGTATTTGCCGGGAAGACATAATCGCATCTACTACTTGATAGAGGAGCTCAAGGACTTCATTGCCTCTAGGGTCAAGATCAATGAAGCATCCTTTGACCCACAAAACCCCCGGGACTTCATTGACTGCTTCCTCATCAAGATGTACCAGGTACCTCTTCCTCTCTTCTCCTCAGTCCCTAGCACCTGCAACTCTAAACTCATCTGTAAACATGCTGGAGACAGGAGAGCAAGCATTGTTTCACATGGTTTACTTTTATAGATGAGATATAGAAACTGCAAAAGCACAAACTCTTACACTTTTTAAAACAGACTTTCAATCTAACATCTTTCTGATCATATATGGTTACAACCACAAGAGATTTACAACTGTAGAAAAACAGAATGAGTCTTTAGAGTCTTAGAATTTCAGAAGCTTAGACTTTTAAAATCTTTAAACTTAAAAGTGTAAAGTCTTAGAGATGTATACATTTAGAGGCTTAACAGTTCTTCAGCATAGATTCTTAGAATTTTAGAAATGTATGTTTTTTTATTATACTACCTCAGCACTTGGAAGTTTAAAATTTTATACCCTGAAGTACTAGAACTTTCAAATCTCACAAGGTAATCTCCATTTTCTTCTCCTTCCATTCTCCATTGTTCAACCATAGTCCAACCACACTGGACTCCTCCTTGCTGTTCCTGTAACACACCAGGCACACTGCTGCCTCAGGACCTTTGTACGGGCTGTTTCCTCTCCCAGATACCCATTTGGTGTACCCATCTATTTTGTTTTCACCATGGCCTACCAGATACCCAGGAATAAGATAAGATAAAGACAGAAGAGGATGATTTTGTTTCCTCTCTCTCACATTTCCAGGATAAAACCAATCCCCACACAGAATTCAACCTCAAGAACTTGGTCCTCACCACTCTCAACCTCTTCTTTGCTGGCACAGAGACTGTGAGCTCTACGCTACGCTATGGGATGCTGCTCCTGATGAAGCATCCTGACGTGGAAGGTGAGAGTCCTCGGGAGCTACTTATCTGCTGACTCCCACTCCCAGTAGGAAAGAAGACATCATCGTGAAACCTTAGAAGCCCATGGCTTTAGACTCTTTACACTTTAAAATTTCACGATACGGAATCTTGGAATTTCTGGCTTGGAAGGTCATTTAATTTCACCTTCCACTCGGTAACTGTATCCATGTCCTAGGGCCACTGTGACACATTACCAGAAACTTAGTAGCTTAAAACAATATAAATCTATTATCTTACAGTTCTGGAGTTCAGAAGTTCAAATAGGTTTCCACTGGGCCAAATCCAGGTAGAATCTGGTTCCTTGACTTCTGCTGCTTCTAGAGTTCCATTCCTTGCATTCCTGGGCTCAGGAGCTGTTCTCCATCTTCAAAGCCAGCAGCGCAGCATCTTCAAATCTCCCTTTGCGACCCTTGTCATGTCTTCTCTGACTCTGACTCTGACTCTGAATCTGACTGATTCTCTCTTATACAGATATTTATGAATATATTTAGGGCCAACCTGCATAATCCAGGATCATCTCCCCATCTCAAGATCCTTAACTTAATGATATCTGCAAAGGGCCTCTTGTCATACATGGTAACATTCAGAGGTTCCAGGAATTAGGAGGTGGACGTCTTTCATGGCCATTATTTAGCCAACTGCAGTACCAGAATCAAATAGAATCCATATTCAATAAATCACAGTCTGGTCTGGTTGCACAACACAGGAATGAGGAACTTTTTACTTCCCTAAGAAAAATCCCCAGTTTGGGCCCCTCTGCCTTATAATGCAGATCAAAACGAGCCAAGGAATTTTTCCTGGTACAGATGATAAGGAGAGACTAACTTGTTTCCACTCAAAGTTTTCTAGTCTCTCCTTCCCTGTTCAAGTTGTCTTTTATGACCTAATTAATCTAATATTTAATGGACACCTTCTACGTGGTGGTCACTCTCATTACTTGCATACTAGATTTTATGTAAATTTTACAACTCTGGGAGCTTGTCAGACCATCACATCCATTGTGAAGACAAAGAAACAGACTCAGAAGGTAAAGTCGTTTGCCCCAAGGTCACTCATCCAGGAGGTGCAGAGAGGGGTAACCACCAATGGTGTCCTTAATCATGGTCACATAATTGCTGCCATTTGCCTCAATCCTATCCTAATTCTCAATTGTGCCTCCTTCCCTACCTGTCAAAAATCTGTATATGAACACTGGCCTGCTCTTCAGCCTTCTGGAACCCTTCAAGATAAAGACCAAACGTCCCAGCTGGCATTTAAGTCTCCAGGCTGTGTGCCTCCAATGACTGATGAGTGTTAACCCCACCAATGTGTGAAGTGGCAAGATAGAGAGGCAATCTATACACACAAGGCCTGCTCCCTTGGGTCCACAGGTAATGAAGATACAAACCCTGGCCCCCAGAAACACCTCCTGTGTACTTGTCTGCTGTTTTCTGGCCCCTTCCAGCTAAAGTCCATGAAGAGATTGACCAGGTGATTGGACCACACCGGATCCCAAGTGTGGATGACCGAGTCAAGATGCCCTACACAGATGCTGTGATCCACGAGATACAGAGACTGACAGACATCGTGCCCATGGGCGTCCCACATAACGTCATCCGGGACACTCAGTTTCGAGGCTACCTTCTGCCTAAGGTGGAGCTGCACCTTCACAGTCACCCCTGCTCCCCCTCTTCACCCCTTTCTCCTCCTGGTTCCTGACCCCCATATCCAACACCAATTTCTCTCAACTGTCTCCCTCTTCCTCCCAGGGCACTGACGTATTTCCCCTGCTTGGCTCAGTCCTCAAAGACCCCAAATACTTCCGATACCCAGATGCCTTCTATCCCCAACACTTCCTGGATGATCATGGCCGCTTCAAGAAGAATGAAGCCTTTGTGCCTTTCTCCTCTGGTAGGTTTCTATTCTCTGAGTCGCCCCCAGGAACATGCTATAGATGTCCCCCAAACATTGGTCTGCATTTGACATTCACGTCCAGATGGGTTTAGTTGAGTGCTATTTCATAGACTCCTAGAAGCCCAGAAGCTCAGAATCATGGAATATTAAAACCACTGACTCTGATAATTAGAAAAATAATAGCACTACACAGGGGCCAGGAAACCTTTTCTGTTAAGGACCAAACAGAAAATATTTTAGGTTTTGACAGGTCTCTGAACTATGCAGTCTGCACTACTCCACCACTGTACTACAAAACACGACCACAGACAGAACATCAATGAATGGGAGTGTCTGTGGTGCCAAAACTTTACGGACACTGAAATTTGAATATTTAATTTTCATGTGTCACAAATATTAGTTTTCTTTTGATTTTTTTTAACCATTTAAAAATGTTAGAAGCATTCCTAGTTTGCAGGCATACAAAAACAGGCAAGAGAGTTTGCCAGTGAACAGTAGCTTGCAGACCTGTGACGTAGTATCTTAGAACAATAGCATTTTAAGTGTAAGACCCCTTGAGGCTGGAGTCAGTGCAGTGGTTAGGAAACAAGGCCCCCCACCTCCAACTCCACCACTTAAAATGGTGGGGCTGTGGGTGTGTTACTTCAGCTCCCTGTCTGTAAAATGGAGATTCATCTCCCCAAGCCACTGGAAGGGTGACGGATAAATAGTATGCACTATGTAAGTGTAAGGTTTCTTTCTTTTTTTCCCTCAACTGTGCATGGTACCTAGTAGGCATTTGATAAAGCTTTAAGAAATTGAAATGAACAGAATCTTCAAATTCAAAGATCCTTTAGAATTATTCCCTCTTAGGGTCTGATGGAATCCTAGCCATCAGAGAAGTGGCTGTCATGTGTTGGGCACCTGTAAGTGGCAGGAGGTCCTAGCTGAGCACAAAGTATAGGAATCCACTGAGTCTGTATAACAACCTTGGACAGTGAGTATTATCATGACCCCTGAGATGCTCAGAAGGCAGCTGAGGCTCTGACGGGTGTTGGAACCACAACGCTCCGCTTGCGCCCATTGTCCCAGGGCAGGTGTGACCGGCCTTCCCGCCCTCCCCTGTGCCCACAGGAAAGCGCATCTGCCTGGGTGAGGCCATGGCCCGCATGGAACTCTTTCTTTACTTCACCTCCATCCTTCAGAACTTCTCCCTACGCCCGCTGGTGCCTCCTGCGGATATCGATGTCACGCCCAAGGTCTCAGGCTTTGGCAACATCCCGCCGACCTATGAGCTCTGCCTCATGGCCCGCTGAGCGCCACCTACTGGGCGCGGGGAGAGCCGTCAGAGAACAGAGCTCTGCCGGTGGGTCCCCGCGCACCCACCCTCACCGCCCCTAAATTCTCAGGACAGCCTCAAGAAAGGCACTATTACTACTGTCGTGGCACCACAGGTCAGCGAGAGTAGCTTGGAACTATAGAGCTTGTATCTTCTACATCCCGTAGAAAGCAATGCCCTGTCCAAGATTTCAGCCACAATCTGGAGGACTTGTGTTCTCATTGTATTACATTCTGCCCAGGGTTTGCTGTAGATTCTAGGTCTTTATGTTGCCCTTTCATGTGTGTGCACCTATATTGATCCAAACGTAGCTCACAATGCTCCCTGGTTATCATTTCCCATACAAAATAAAATAAAAGCAGCGGGGTAGATCAAGGCTGTTGTGTGTTGTGTGTAACATCATTGCAGGGCATGGAAAACAACTCAAAAAGACCTTTTAGACATCCTTGTTATTAATTATCTTCCAATCAGTCCACCACCAGAGATTTCCCGCTGGCTGGGCCACCCCCTTAGTGATCCATTCTCAACCATCTTGCTGGCTCATGGCCCCTCGCCACATGAATCATCTCTCCTTCTAAACCAGTAGGTTTGAAAGGAACTGCAATCACAACTTTCAATCCCAAGTTCTCCCCACTCCATTTGGAAGAATAGTTCAGCTGCCCCAACTTCTATTATTCCATTTCTAAACCCCATCAGCTTACTCAGTTGATGAACACCTTCCCTCATATTTCATTTTATTCAGCCAATATTTATCAGATACCCGACATGTGCCCACACACTGTTCAGGTACTTGGGATTGGTGAACACGACCAAGAAAAACTTCTGCCCTTGAGGTTTCATTTTAGTGAGAGACGCAGACAGTGAATAAACATAATAAGTAGCTGATACAGTATCTTAGAACAGCAAAGTTGACAGGATTGGGGTTTTAATTGGGTCAGGATAGGTCTCATAAGGTGGTGGAGCAGCAAGTCATAAGGATATCTGGGAAGGAAGTGTTTTGGGAAGACAGATAAAAAACAGCAGAGTAGTAAGGCAGAAAGCTGGTGTGTGTGTTCTAGAATTGGCAAGGAGACATGTATGGCTGGAGTAAATAGGATGAGGGCCAGGTGTTAAGGGGCCAATTATGTGGGGCCTCGCGGGCTTCACTGAGGACTTCTGCTTTTCTCCTGAGTGAAATGGTGTTTTCTGGTGAGCACAGGGTGACACAGACTGATGGACATATTTTATTTTTATTTTTACTTACTTTTTAATTAAAGTATCATCGATATGCAATCTTATGAAGGTTTTACATGAACAACATTGTGGTTTCAACATTCACCCATCTTATCAAGTCCTCACACACCCCCATCGCAGTCACTGTATCAGCGTAGTGAGATGCTGCAGAGTCATTACTTGGATGGACATACCTTAAATAGTGAACTCTAGCTGCATAGAGAATAGATCGAAGGTGGGGGTCACAGAGTCACCAGTCCCAGAGGAGGACTCCAACTACATGGAGGATAGGGAAGCTCTTCACTAAGCCAACCGCCAGGAAGAGAGCATCTTAGGATTGGAGCCACCAAGGAAAATGCATCACAGTCAAGCACTGGATGGAACAGCACTGTACTTACATAGAGAAGAGCAGAGCAAGATCAGCTTCAGCAGCGCCCGTTAGCCTCCCATGACCAGCGGGTCTCTCCTAGCAACCAGCGCAGTGCAGTTTGACTATGCACCTCACTTGTGCGTGTGGAAGGATCCTATCTCCTCCCTGTGCGAACAGACATAGCGATGGGGCTGGCCAGGCGCCATATGAAACACATGCTTAAACAGAACAAAGGAGTACTCATTGAGCTTAAAAGGGGAAAGATATTCTTACCCAGGGTGATAAGTCCAGCACAGGCTGTGTGGGCTCTTTATCTCCTGGAAGAAAGTGTTCCAGGCCCAAAACCCATTTTTCTGTGGCTGAGTGGGGTTCAAAAGACTGTGCACATGAGACAGCCTCTTCCAACATCCACCTATAGGGGACTGGGATAGCTCACGTAATGAGAAACTATGCAATCAATAAAGTCAAAATTGAAATTTAGACATGCAAAATTGCATAATACTTTCTATTGAAATATTTGTATTATGAAGCTGTCTTCTGGAAATATTTGGACAAACATGATAGAAGACTCGCTCTTTCTCACCAGGCCCTAAGTAAATTAATTGGTGCTTTTCCTTCAATAGGATAAAGATTAAAACTTGAGCAAGACATTATTAAAAATGTTTTAATGAAGTCTTTCATTTTCTATATAATATAATATTAAGTAAAAATCAAAGGTTAATTGCACAAGTTTCTTAGCTCTCTGTTGCTGGGTTTTTTCTCCCTCTGTATCAAGGACCTGTGCAAGGAGACCCTCCCAGCGTAAGAGGGGCATGCAAAAACAGATTCATGTTTGAAGGCAGAGGATGACCACCTCATTGCTCCCGAGAGATTGGCTCGCTCTTTAACCACTGAAATAAATGACTTTAATGACATCTTATTACAAAATTTCCCTTCCCATTTTGAACAAGGGAGGAGGAATAGAGGTAATGGTTCCTCTTCTCTCTAGATCTACACTGTCCAGCAAGACTGCCACTAGCCACATGTGGCAAATAATTGGAATGTAGATAATGAGACAAAATTCCGGTTGATGAGCCAGTGTTGATACAGTCTTATTAACTGAAGACCATAGTTTCATTAGGATTCACTTTAACACAGAAAGACTAATACTGCATGGCCTCATTTATATGTGGAATCTAAAAACTTGTACTCATAAAAGCAAAGAGTAGATTGGCAGTTGCCAGTAGCTGGTGGGTGGGAGAAATGGTAAGATGTTGGTCATAGTACAAACTTTCAGTTATAAGATCAATAAGTTCTAGGAATCTAATGTACAAAATGGTTAACAACACTGTATTGTATACCGAAATTTGGCAAGAGAGTAGATCTTAAGTATTATCACCACACATACCAAAAAAGGTAACATACATGAGGTGGTGGATGAGTTAATTAACTTGTGATCATCGTTTCACAATGTACACACATATTAAATCATCATGTTATATGCCTTATAAAATATCTCACTGTAACAACTTAAATGTATGTAATTTTTATTACCTCAATCAAACTGTGGGTGGGAAATAAATCTATAGACTTTGATGTAGTTGGATTAACATCAACTGTATTTGGTATTGTTTTTATTCATTGCTTTTTTTGTTGGTCTTCCAGCCAAATTTTTATGTCTTCTCTGGTTTGAGATTCTGCATGTATGATTCTGATTTTTCCTCCTCTTACATATCAACTACACTTTCTTTTTTACTTTAGTGGTTGCCTTTGAATTTGCTATATACATTTGCAATTAAGTTCTTTTTCAAATAATAGTATACCACTTCACAGTTAGTGCAAGTATCTGTTCTTGTACATACCTTATAACAGAGTATTCCCAATTCCTTACTCCCATAATTGAGAACATTGGGGTAATGGATTTCACTTATATATTAACTACAATCCCTGGATACACTGTTGTTGCCATTCTTATTTTGAAAAAACTGTTATCTGTAAGGTTAATTAAAAGGAAAATTAAAAGACTTTGTTTTAGCTTCACTTTTCCCCTCTCTAATATCCTTTCTTTCTTTATGTACATTTGAGGTTTTGACCTACATCATTCTTCTCTCAGAAAGACTTCTTTTAATATTTCTTGCAGTGTAGGTCTACAGGGGACCAATTCCCTCAATTTTTGATTGTCTGAGGAAGTCTTTATTTATCCTTTACTTTTGAAAGATAATTTATCTGGATACATAATTCTAGATTGGTGGTCCTTTTCTTTTAACACTTTCCTATTTCATTCAACTCTCTCCTTGTTTACACGGTTTCTGAAGAGAAGTCCAGTGTAATTCTTATCCTTATTCTTCTAGGTAAGATGTTTTTTCACCTCAGGTTTCTTCCAATATTTTTTCTTTGTCTCTGATTTTCTGCAGTTGGTATATGATAGGCCTAGATGTATGTAGGGTTTTGTTTTTTTAATTGTCTTTGGTGTTCTGTGAGCTTCCTGGATCTGTGGTTTGGTGCCTGTCATTACTTTTGGGAAACTCAGTCATTATTGTTTCAGGTATTTTCTCTGTTCCTCTTTCTCTTTCTTCTCCTTCTGGTATTCCCATTATGCATATGTAATACCTTTTAAAATTGTCCCATAGTTCTTAGATAGTCTATCCTTTTCTTTTTCTTTTTTTTTGCATTTCAGTTTTGGAAGTTTCTTGACATTTCTTCAACCTCAGAGTCTCTCCTCAATCGTGTTTCATCAATTGATAACGCAATCAAAGCCATGCTTCACTTCTGTAATAGTATTTTTGATTTCCAGCATTTCCTTTTGATTCTTTGTGTTTCCATCTCTTTGCTTATGGTACTTGTCTGTTCTTATATATTGTCCACTTTTTCCATTACAGTCTTTAGCATAATATGCAATTGTTTTAAATACAGAGTCTGATAATTTCAACATCTCTGCCATATTTGAGTCTGGTTCTGATGCTTGCTCTATCTCTTCAAACTTTGCTTTTTGTCTTTTAGTATGCCTGTAATATTTTGTCAAAAAATGGACATGATAGTAAGAGGAACTGAGGTAATAGTCCTTGAGTGTGAGGTTTTTTCTTTATCTAGCTATGCATTAGACTGTGTTTACTATTTACAATACCTGTAGTGTCAGAGGCTTCAGTTTCCTTTGGCATTCTTGTTTTTGTCTCCTTCATGTGTTTGAGTTTCCCCAGAGACCTCTTTTAAAATAATGTCTGAGATTCCACAGTTCTTTTTATTGTATTCCCTATTGTTGGGGTGGTTAGGTGTTGGGGGAGAGGAAGCACCCTGTAGTTCCATGATTAGGTCTCAGTCTTATAGTGAGCCTGGGCTGTGGTTGTCATAAGTGCTTCTAAGATTTGTTTTCCCCTTAGGTGAGATTGAAAGGCTAGGAAAGCTGGTTTATGTATTTCCCTTCCCCTTCATTGAAGGCTGGAGTAGGCTGGAGGTTGGTATATCCCTTCTCCCTAGGCTGGTTAGTCTCTGGTAAAACCCTAGTCAGTTAGTTAGACTCTGGAAAGGAGGAGGCATGGAGCATGTTACCCCAAAATGTCCCACCTTGGTATGTGGATCATTTTGAGGTGAAGGCAATTAAGACCCAGAAGACTCACTAAAAGCTTTTACCTCTCCCTTAACTGCTTAAAGGAGTTTAGATATGGGACCTGTACTAGGAAGAGGTATTACCAGAGATCGCTTTTTATATCAGAAAGATTTATCTGTATAGCAGGGAAAACATCTGCTTAACAAACATTTGCTCTTCTTATCTTCCTGTGATTTTCTTCCTCCTCTTTGAAGC